ATTGGGGCATGTGTGGGAGGCAACAGTTAATGTGTCTCACATCGATATTTCTCCCCCCCCGCCCCGCCTCCTACTCTCTCTGAAAAGCAATGGAAAATAAATAATCATTTAAAAAGAAATGACGGGCAGGAAAAGTACTACAGAACCAACAGAGCTTGGTAACTGACAACGTGAAGAGGGAGGACTCAAATAGGGCTCCAGCTTGTGAGGTTAGGAGAACGTGGTACATGAACAGAACCCCAAAGGGTTCTCTGTAAACTCCACTTCCCCCTTGACGCAGGTATGGGCTTAACTGCTCTCTGACCACAAAGCCTCACAAAATGCCCTGTGAAGACAAGCCAGACAGAGTAGTCTCTCCCCTTCTACATGATCTCAGTTCTGAGCCCTCCCTCAGCTCCACTAACTCCACTGCCTTTAACACACAGCTATGACAACCATCCTCCCGTAGTAGGCTGCCCATCACCCAGAATAGCTGAAACCCTCAAGGCCCTCCATATGCTGGCCCCAACCTACCTTTTTGGTATATCTTGCTGACTTGGCATCACTCAGGTCCATGCCCTTCTGTCCAGCTCCACCAGTCCCAGGTGTCTCCTTGAGCTCTTACCTCTGCCTGAACACCCTCCCGCACCTGGCTAACTCCTCCTGGACCCCTGCAGGTCAGCCTGCCCCACCTGCTGGTTAGATGCCCCTCCTTTTGGCCCCACAACTCTGTACTGAAATGGCCTGTTCTTCCTCCTGACCTGTGTTTTTGGGGGCAAAGATTGCTTACCATTGACCCCAAACACATGGCACCCTTCTGGACATATTGTAGGTGTTCAAATACTTGGTGAAGGAAGGAAAGGGCAGTCACTCTCTGGACTCATTTCTCACTGCTCCTTCCACCGCCCTTCCTATGCTCAGCTTCTACCTTCAGTGCCCAGCTCATTGACACCTCCGCCATCACTCTCCTTCCCAACTTGTCTAAACTCTGAGTCTGCATCAGTTGGTCTGTCAGCCTTAGCCACATGTGAGCAGGGCAGCAACTGTTCAAATTAGTGAGGATACAAAGGCACCAAGCCTGAGCTCCGCCCGCCAGGATGCCCTGTCCAGGAATAAGGCAGAGGAGGGCAACCTTGTTCTCTGCTTCTCTGAACTGCAGCAAGTGGGTAATGAGGCTGGGGAATTCTGCCACCAGGTTGAGAGCCCAGTCTCCTGGGGCCTCCCATGCCACGTTGCCCCACCAACCACTGAAACCCTCAGGCCTCTGAGCTAGAGCCAGTGCCATGCTGCGTCTTGCCTGTCATCCTCTCGAAGTCCCCAGAGATGGTGAGCAAACAGCAGCACAAGAACCACAAGAAAACAGCCACACACTGGGCTTTGTCCATAATTATTACTATAATGATTTACAAAAAAGTATTTTTCAGGCAACTGTGTTAAATTATTATACATATCTGGGAGGGGGAGAGGGGTTCCTGGCCCAGGATAATGAAGACCTCCTTCATGGGAGAGGAACTGTGCCCCCTCACCCCTCTGGGTCTGACTCCTGATTAAGTGGCTTCCCCTCAACTAGTGAAGACCATTAACCCTTCTCTGTCCAGGGTACTGGGGTAAAGAAGGAGCAGCAAGTCAATGAAGTGCTTTGAAGAGGAGAGCGCAACAGACTGTGGCTGCCCGAACCTCCTGCATACTCTGCCCTAGCTCCACAGGGTCCACCTTGGGCCAGAACTCCTCCCTGGGAAGGGCAGAATGCTCAGTACTCAGCCTGCACCAAGGCATCCACTCAGGAAGGTGGGGGGAAAGAGTGTGGAAAGTCAGGGATGCCTAGGAGTGACCAGCCTTCTGCACTACAGTCAGGTCAGGAAGGGGAGGTGGCATGAGAAGCAATGATACACCAGTGGGGCGCTGCTGGCTGCAACCTCTTCTACCCCACTCCCCAAGGCTATATAGGTACTCTGGCCCTGGGAGGGACCCTATCAGAGGAAATGGGGGGCATTTGGGTGTCTGGCCTTAGAGCTCGGGGTGGCAGCCCTGCAAGTTAGAGCTAGAAACCATAGGCTTAATTGGCCCTGCCAAGGGGGACACCCAGAACCACCTCAATTCCTACATTCCAGCTCAAGACTCCCACCCATGCAGCTAAACATACCATGTGTGTGCGTGCGTTTGAGTGTGGAGGGGAGGGCTGCAGGGAAGCGCTGTTGCACCACCTGTCCGGGGTTCAGGACATGCAGGGGACCCTACACCTGGTACGTGAGCCCAGACCAGAAAGGGTCAAGGACTTTGGCTTCCCTTTCCTCCCATTCTCCCAACACGCTGCCCCCTCCTTGGGCACTAGAAGGTTTTACGATGAATAGCACGAGTACCGTCCTCTTCGTACTCTTTCTTGGAGACCCACATCTTCTTAAAAGTGTCCAGTGAGGCCAGGATGGAGCCACTGTGAGAAGGGAGGGGTGGTGTTCTTGTGGGTAGCCACCCTCTCTGGGCACTCAGAGCTATTTACTTCACCTGGGAGGGAAATCCACCCACCTCCACCTGGCCTGGGATAACCCTGGGAGAAGTGTCCAGGGCAAAATGGTTTCCTCCCAGAGCCCTCCCTGTGAGCCCTGCCTCACCCGATCCACGTGGAGTACAGCCGTTCCTGAGGGGCCGAGATCTAGAGGGAGCAAGCCACAATGTAACTGCCTGTCCCCACACAGCAGCCCCTGTCCCAGCCTTGGGGGTGATTTCCACAGGGCCTGGGGCCAGACAGCTAGGGCACGAGCCAGAAGCAGGGGGAACAGGCAAATGGGAGGAGAGGCTGGGCTGGGCTAGAGAGGAGAGGGCCTCTGGAGGCGGCATGTGCCTCCTCCCAGGTCAGGGCTGCCCAGCACCCCCACGCCCCATGGGCACTCCACAACCGCACCTTGATTTTGACGTCCTTCGGGGCGAGCTTCTTCACTTCACTTAGTAAGCGGTCGCCAAAGCCTGTAAACACAAGGCCAGCTAGCCTGGGGCCCACACCTGGCCCTCACCGCTAGCTCCCTGGATCCAACCTGGTGCCCCCCAGTTGCAGCCCTCCCTTCAGCGGTTCTTTCCAGGATTAAGGGTAGGTACGAGCCACTTGAAGGGCAGAAAAGACCCAACACCAGGCCTGCAGGTGGTCCAGCTCCCAGAGGTGACATGAGATGGAACCCCAAGTCACCTGGCTCTGCTGGCCCCCCACATTTCTCCTCACCAATGTTCCAGCAGCCCAAACCCACCAGAAGCAAAGTCAAAGGCAAATGACAAATCAGGAGAAAACATTTACCATTCTGCCCATCAGATGGACAGAGATCACACAGTGTCGGGCAAGTGGTGAGCACAAGCTCCCAGAAGGGAAACTTGGGCAGCACCCACCCAATAGCAAGGGCACACCCGCCCTGACCTGTCTGTTCTACTCTAGGATTTACTATTTCGGCATATTCTCACCACATGAAGTGACTGAAGGAGAGCACCCACTGAACAGCTCTGATTAGAAGTGATTGCAACTCTCAAAGGCCATCAGCGGGACAATGGCTATGTGGCACATCGGTCACTGAAACACCGCACAGCCATATGAAAGAACTTACATGGGTAGGAAAAGACCTTCCAGATAAGATGCTAAGTGAGCCAGACATGGTCGGGACGTGCAGAACATGCAGTCTGTGTGTATGTGGGGTTGATGCACATTTGTTTATATGTGCAGGGAGGTAGCCAACAGGTGCCTAAGAAACCAGCAAATCCTGTGCGGAGGGAAGGAGTGACCAGCACCATGGGGATAGGGCACTTCATCTAACACATTTTAGATCTCATATACACTTATCACCTATTTACGAAGGAGTAAAATGTAATTTAAAATCTTACTCTTTTAAAAAAAATTGACCACTGAGCACCAAAAAGCCAGTAGAAAACAGGCCATGTCCCAGACTGCAAGGAGTGGGACACAGGTAAAGGTCCAGCTGCCCTTGGCCCCCAGAGTCCCAAAACCACCTCCCAAACCAGGGCACCTTTGAACAGCGTGGAGCCGCCTGAAAGCACGATGTTGGCGAACAGCGTCCGGCGGAGGTCCAGGTCAGACTTGTGGATGGCAAAAGCCAGCACCTCGTGGAGTCCCTCGCTCTCATCCCCTACCAGGTCTGGCTGGAACAGCAACTCGGGGGCGCGGAATCGTGCTGGCCCCACCTTTGGAAGATATGATTGAGGCAGACAGGCATCTTCCTCTTCCAGGTCCCAGCAGCACCACTGCCACCCAGGGCCAGGCCTGGCAACTTACATCAAGCATGCTCCCGTCTGGCAAGGTGTACTGCACCTTCTCTGTCTCCAGAGCCTCATCCTTCTGCGGGTTGATGGATAGGTAGCAGGCTCTCTGTGAGGGAGGAGCAGGGACACACCCTCAGAAGGTGGGACTAGGACACCCACACCCAGGGCTCAACTTCAAGCCTTGGTCCAGCCCTCCTCCCCTGCCACTCCCCCTCCAGGTCATCTCCGCACCCTCCTGCCCTCTGGTCACCTCTTTGATGGTCCGAACAACCTCAAACTCAGCTGAGGTGTGAAAGTCAAAGCCTTCCTTGCGTAACAGCAGCCGGAGATAGCGGGAGACGTCGCGGCCGGCAATGTCCACCCGCATGATTGAATGCGGCATGGCAAAGCCCTCGTAGATAGGGACAGCATGGGTGACCCCGTCCCCCGAGTCTAACACCACTCCTGTTGTTCGTCCTGTTGCATACCTGTCAGCAGGTCAGCATCCCCTCAGCCAGTAAAGAATGGGGACCTCCCACCCCTGGAAGGGACCCTGGGACAACTGCACGAGGAACTGCCCAAAGGGATAATCATCAGGGGGCTGTTTCTACAGGGAGGTCAGACATCTGGTCACCTTGAGCAGGAGGACAGCCCCAGGGAGGACTGGGACTCGGGACCACTCACAGGCTGAGTACGGCCTGCATGGAGATAAATAGGGCCGGCACGTTGAAGGTCTCAAAGAACACCTCTGCAGCCTTCTCCCGGTTCTTACTGGGGTTGAGCGGGGCTTCCGTTAGAAGAACAGGATGCTACGAGGGACGGCAGATGTGGGCATGTGCATAGACAGCATGCTAGGCCCCAAAAGGATCTTTCCAGAGAGCCCCCCCCACCCCACACCCGCTGTGAGAATGTGTAGTTGCAGCCCGATGTCCTTCTTGAGGGCACAATCCTGTCACCTGCTGGCAGTTATTCTTCCAAAGAGCCAGCTCTCTCTGGAAGTTCTGCTTGGCTGCCACTGACTGCTGTGCCCCACCCCACCTCCCAGTGAAGAGGCAGCAGGCCCCATCAAAATGCAGGAAATGTGGGAGCGTGACCAACGGGGAGCACAGCAGGAGGGGCACAGCGAGGGGATGTGGAGCCTGTGGGAGGCCCGGCTGCCACACCTCCTCCGAGAAGGTCTGCAGCTGGTCCTTGGAGTAGACGTACTGCCAGATGCGCTCCATGTCATTCCAGTCCCGCACCACACCATGCTCCATGGGGTAGCGCAGAGTCAGAAGCCCCCGGTGCTCCTGCACAGGAGGGGTAGAAAGGCCAGTGTGGCTCTAGGCCCCTCACCCAACCTTTGCTTTCTGCCTTCCTGGAAGCTGCCCCTTCACCTGCCCTGACTAGAACCACCGCTGCTTACAGGGTGCCCCCATGCACTGTGGTGGGTCCTTAACTCAGTGTAGGCTCAATTGTCTGGCAGCCTCTCAGGCTCTCAGAGCCTAGCCAGCCTTAGCTGGCCAGGCACAAGGGAGGGTGGTGCCGTGCTTCCTCCCACTCTCCAGTCCCTCCTCTTCCTCCCCTAGCAGGCTTTTCTATACTCAATGCCAGCATATCCCTCCCTGCCCAGCTTCCATCTCCTTCATTCATGGTTACTGCTCCCATCAGCGCCTGTACAGTCCCCTCTTGTGGTCACCTGTCACCTCCCACCCCCACTCCTCCTAGCTCCCCAGCCAGTGCTCACATCTCCTGCATGGACTTGCCCTTTGATGTCCCCCATAGCATGTCCCTTCCTGCCAAGCACCACTTTGCCTCTCTTACGCTACTGACTCATCTCCTGAGAGCTCCTATCTGTGCCCCCAGCTCAGGCCTCAGACCCTGGCACCCCAAACTGTGTTCTCCAGGTGCTTAACCTGCACTTGTTTATAATTCTCCCACCCAACATGGCTCTTCCTGAGGGCCTCTCCGGCTGAGTGACCCCTGGCAAGTCACCCCAGCTGGGGTACAAGAGGTGGTTCCACAGCTCTCATGATCAAGTCTGGGTAATTCAGACTTTTAACTCACTTTTTAATCAGTTCTTTCCTCTGCAGCTTCCAAAAGACAGGGCATGAAGTGGTCTAACCGTGCCCTGCCCCCAGGAACCTCTGTCTCATTACAGGGCAGAGTTCTTCAGAGCTTAAAGCCTGGAGAGCCCAGGAGGACACCTGGCAACTGGCCCAGAGAGCAGAGTCCCAGGGGCCTCTGCAGGACAGCTCTGCCCCCCAGCCAATGCTCCTGAAGACCCCAAACCCAGGAAAATGCAGGTTACCTCTGCTTTTGGTCCAATGAAGAGGTCCCCTTCCAGGGCTCCAGCCATCACTCGCATGTGCTTAGGGCGCCCGACACTGCAAGGACACGTAAAGTCAGTGAGGTAGGTAGGGGACATGGCTGGAAATCCAAGTCCAACTACAGTGGTCAAGCATCAGGAGGTGGCCATGGAGCAAAGGGATCTGGGACACGGGACTACACAGTAGGTCTTAGCAGGACAGAAAGCTCAGGGTCGGAAGAAAAGGTGTCCCTCTCATAGAGGGTAGAGCTCTGGACCATCAGCCCCCCATGGCCCAGTCCTGGCAGAGGGTCAGCTTCTGCAGCCAGTGACTCAGCCCAGGCTCTCGATCTCAAGAGGGCAAGGTTGCCGCCACTGTCTGCAAACCCAGGGAGGATGGCCCAGGAAGCTGGGTATTGGCTCCCTGTACCCCCCACCCACTCAACTGATCCTGCTCCTTCCCACAGCCAGGGCTTCCAGAACAGAGATTCCACACTTTGACCCAAGTTCTCTGCACAATAGGAAACTTAATTAAAGCCAAGTGGGGTTCAGAAAGGAAAGCTGGAGCCCTACTGGGTGTTCCATGCTGGCCCATCTCCAGACCAGGCCTGGGGTCTTGGCAAAGTCAGCCACTTCAGGGGCTCCAGGAACCCCAGCCCCACTCCCAGGCTTAGGCTAATCACTCTAAAGCCTGCAGGATTTGAGCTGACACTGAGGGAAAACTTTCCAATGGGCTGGAGTAGCCAAAGGTGTACCCCAGGGTTTTTCTAGGTTTCACCTCCTCTGACCCCGGCCACCACTGGAACCATTCAGGGAAAGACCCTCTGGACTGAGAGTATTTTCTAGAGTCTGAAAATAAGCCCCAAAGAAAACCTCTCCTGGGAGAAAGAGGTAGCTGCGCACTAATTCCCCATCTTCCTCCTCTGAGTTCAGGTCTTTCTCTGGGAAACTTCTCCCTTTTATTGTTGCTGCTGCTACCACGTCCTGTCCCCAGAGGAATGCTGGCAGCTTCTCCTCCCAGGCTCAGTGAGGAACCCAAATCAGACTCCAAGGAGGAGGGGGAAGCCCAGAGCAGCTGTCTGCTCCTTCCAGAGCCCTCAACAGTGTCAGCCTCACAAATCTGGTGTCTTCCCTATGGCTGCTGGGGGTGGGGGT